TTAGGGCAAATTGGATGTACTTATACATCATCCAAAAAAAGGTATAAGCTGGATCTCCTATTAAATGCTATAACACTTGCTTTTCCGTAAGATTTATGATTGGGCTTAGCATGTTGAAGTACTGATCTCATTTTCCCATCTACCTCAGAACTTGCCTTGCAGATTGACTGTCCCTATTTGATCTTTAACAAAGATTTGATGTAGCAATAATAATTGCCTTGGTTTTTTTTTCTTTCTCCAGCAAGGGAAGGTTTCTTACTGTACATCAATCAGATCACATCAGAGTAATAATGATAGAGTGTAAAGCAGATCAGAAAAAAAGGGGAATTAGATATCAGATCTGTATTGCACAGCACAAATATGTCAAGTGTAAAGTTTCACTGATCATCTAAAGGGACACTGTTTATTTTTGTTTGTTACAATGCTCTTAATTTTACATATATTTTTGGTTGTGTGTCAATACCTGTGCATTAATAAGTGAGATTAACAAAGCATAGCCCAGAAATGTAACATTTTGTTAAAAATAAGGCATAAATAGCTAAAACATAATCATTGCTAGAAGAAAATGAGAGCAATCAGCAGAGTCGCAAAAAATTAATGTAATGCCTATGGTAGGACTAATGGCAATCAAACAATTAATAAAACAATATAAGGGGGTGGAGCCAAGCAGTGAACCAGAGCAGTCACATATTCCCTGCGCTCTGCAAACATTTGCCCTAAAAGCCTGTTTTTTGGTGCTACCACCACTCACCTGACAGCATGGGATGCAAAAATAAAATACCAAAGGCTGAAAAAAGCCTGTGGAGCCACGACACTGATGATTTATTCCGCAGCTCGCAGAAGGCCGCATGGAACCACATGGCGCTACTAGACGAGGACTCATCCTACTCCTCCGAGTACTTATCCCTTGTCCCAGGTGAAGGGGCCTCTTCTGACAAGACGTCGTGAGTGAAACCCCCAAGGTCGGAGGATCGTGAACCGGTTACAGCATCCCAGTTAAAAGCGATGCTTGCGGAACTTTGTAGGAACATGGCAGGGGACATGTCCCACTTTCAAAAGACGATCGAGAGTGCCAATACTAAGCGTCCACCCCAGATCTCATCCTCAGATTCCAGACCCTACAGGAAAAGGCCCTGCTTCTGGCTGCAGTACAATGGAAAATCCAGATTTCCTTTGAAGGGGCCACATTTTTGCTCTTTCCAGACCTCACAAGAAACACCATGAATTGGCATTGGTACTTGCAACCTCTCCAACAAGTGCTGCGGTCCCGGGATATCCTGTACCAGTGGGGCATTCCACGTGCCATCATGCTCACCAAACAAGGCACGACATACCGTGCAGGCACCTACCAAGAGCTCGATGATCACATAAAAACCCAAGGAATCCTGCCAACAGCTGAGTCTGCAGAGACAGGCTTGTCCGAGTGAACCCAGCGAGGATCCGAGTGTTCAGCCCCCAAGCAGCACAGACCAACTCATCATCCAGAGTCGTAACCTAATTGAAGGACCATAGATGGTACCCCAGTAGCCAATGTTCCTGCATTAACAGTGACTTTCCTAAAAACCACCACCGAACTGTGACAAGATTTATGTTTTTATTTTTGATTTTATATTTTTGCATACTTCTAGTTTATTTTTACACACCACAGGCTGTTTGTTATTCAACCTATTGATTCTTACTTTTTAGTCTGTGGGGCAACTTAGATCTCTATAGCAAACTGTTCTGCCCAGACACACCACTTATATGGATAACCAAGTTGGTTCATAGCCCAGCTCACTACTGAGACACACATAGTTACTCCCCCCACCCCCCATATGGATAAGCAGCTACATGACCTCACCACACTCTCACAAGATGGTAGCATATCATATAGACAGCCCACTCTTCACAAACACCTCAGATCTAAAGCTGTGCCACGGGACCCTATGGGAACATATTCCTAGTTCAACTCCATGGAATTTCCTTATGTTTTCTTATTAAAAAAAATCCCTCACTCAACACTGCTTAAAGGACCACTATAGGCACCCAGACCACTTCAGCTAAATGAAGTGGTCTGGGTGCCAGGTCCATCTAGGGTTAACCCTGCCTGCTGTAAACATAGCAGTTTCAGAGAAACTGCTATGTTTACATGTGGGTTAATCCAGCCTCAAGTGGCTGTCTCATTGACAGCCGCTAGAGGCACTTCCGCGCTTCTCACTGTATTTTTCACAGTGAGAAGATGCCAGCGTCCATAGGAAAGCATTGAGAATGCTCTCCTATGGACTGATTGAGCGCGCGGCGGCTCTTGCCGTGCATGCGCATTCAGCCGATGACGTCCGAAGGAGGAGGAGAGTCCCCAGCGCCGAGGGAGCCCAGCGCTGGAGAAAGGTAAGATTTTAACCCCTTCTTCCCCCTTCAGCCCAGCGGGAGGGAGGCCGTGAGGGTGGGGTGGACCTATTAACCCCTAAAGGACGCTGGATTTTCTATGCCGTCCTTAAGGAACTGGCTCTAAATGCCCGAGGGCAGCATAGAACGTCCCTTGCGTCCTATGTACTTACCCGGTTGCCGGTGATCCTATGCTGGCGATCACAGTATGGGGACTTACCTGGGAGCCCAGGGAGTCCCCCTCCTTCCTCTTTGGCCCCTCTGGTCAAGGACCTCGCTGTCAGGATTACTGTTTGATCCAGCACGTAGAACTGTACAGCACGGATGACAAATAAGTAACGTATTACCGGTCCTTAGGATGGCCGGATTTAACGTACAAAGAATAGTCAAAAATACTAGCCGAGGTCAGGGAACACAGAAAGGGACACAGCGATGAGGAAAGCCAGGAGTCAGGATACCAGAATATAGAGAAGTCAATAAACAAAGCCAAAGTCAAAAACCAGGTAGAAAACTATAAACAGGAACGCGCTCTCGGACAACCACAAGGGAAACCACGACAGGGCACTGAGCAGGCTGAGAACTGGGCCTAAATACCCCTCCTTTCTTTCTGATAGGCTGTAACCGGCCTTTGACCCCAAAGTCAGTTACCAGGTTTCATTTGCATAATTGCTGCTCAGCATTAACCCTTCTGTGGATTAGGTTGCTGCTCGGCACAACTTTTCCTGTGTGGACAGTAAATGTCATTAACCACTTTTCTATAAGCGGATGAATACATGAGACCAGGTTTCATTTGCACAATTACTGCTCAGCATTAAACCTTCTGTGGATTAGGTTGCTGCTCGGCACAACTTTTCCTGTGTGGACAGTAAATGTCATTAACCACATTTCTATAAGCGGATGAATACATGAGACCAGGTTTCATTTGCACAATTACTGCTCAGCATTAAACCTTCTGTGGATTAGGTTGCTGCTCGGCACAACTTTTCCTGTGTGGACAGTAAATGTCATTAACCACATTTCTATAAGCGGATGAATACGTGACACTCGCGATCACAAGGACGGCATAGCCGTCCAAGGCATTGCGAGCAGGGGGAGTGCCTGTTATGACAGGTACTCCCCCTGCTGTCTGAAAAAATAAATAAAACATGTTAAAACAGTGTAAAATTAAATAATATATACTTAGATCATATATATACACATATGCACACATACACAGAAATATACATACACTGTCTAAGTGTATTTTAATATTAATATATATATAATTGCATATATATATATATATATATATATATATATATATTCATATCAAAGTACACATACAATGATATTGACTAAATATATATATATATAATTGTAGATTATGCTAACGTAGTGTACCTATAATCTTAATTTTAATAATGACAGGAGGCGAATATTTTGCATAACTTTCTTTACTTTATGCCTCCAGCAGCACAAGTCAATCAATAAACTTTAAACCAATCAGTAACAGGCATCACATCCATATATAAAGCCCTGACAGACACATGACTTCCTCTTTCTTTGATGCGAAAAACAGTCTATTATAACGTCAGGGAATTCAAATAACAGTCCTGATTAACGTGTAGCACATAACTTGAACCGAAACTTGAAACCTTCCAGCTTTATCTTGTCGAATCCATCTATGATTACGCTGAAAAGAACAGAAATACGTGAAAGGTGATGGAAACCAACTGTTGTCTACATTAAATCCAGTACTATATGTGTCTATATTTACATTAAGTTAATATACTGAAACATTAAACAAACCATAGTATACTTAATAATCAACACGGATCTAACACATATCAACCAAATAAGCATCCCATAAATATACTGAATTACCAAAACCTTATAATTACACTGAGAAAATGACAAACCAGAATATAAAAAATTTCCAGAGTATAGGGAGGGAAACAGGGAGGGAAAATATTCGCCTCCTGTCATTATTAAAATTAAGATTATAGGTACACTACGTTAGCATAATCTACAATTTTATCACATGACAGGAGGCTTCATATTTTGCATTTTTAAAGCTGTGGTATGAGCGAGAAGGATGCGTGTGTGGTTGACGAAAATAAATATACGGAAGTAGTCTATCCGTGTCCAATTCGTCGCTGAAAATATAGAGGCCCCCTCGTGAAGGCCTGAGAAGCAGCTGCGCCTCTTACCGAATGAGTACCCAAACACGTCTCCACCCTCGCTAGCGATAACAACCAATGAACCCATCTAGACAGAGTGTTCATGGTAACTGGCTTGTACGGTTGGTATAAGACCAGCAGATGTCCTGAATGTGACATTCTAAGTGTTGTCGTGATCTCCATGTAACAAAGTACCGCTTTAACTGCACAAAGACTGGGAAACCGTCGGTAACAGGGAACGATACGGACGCGGATAAGATATAGTTCTACGAGACACTGTAGAAATCATTCTTTCCGGTGATACCGAAAAGACCGTCTACGTCGAACTCCAGTACATCTGATACCCGACGAAAAGACCTAAAAGTAACGTGACTCTGGCTAATGGCTGACTGAGGGATAGGACCGTGATATCTGACTAGCTCCAAAAGAACCAAATCAAAGTCCCACACCAGTGATACTTTGACGCATGGTTCTGGACGGTTTGATACCCCACAGAAAATGGCATATCAAAGGCTCTTGATTGACCGGAGTGTCGTGAATCGTGCTATGCGTCGTCGAAATCGCGGAACGTAGCCCGTTAATGGAACGTTCCGATCGGCCTGTAGTGAAAAGGTATGATAAAGATCCAGCATCGTGGAGATAGGGGTAATAAAGGGATCGCAGTCCCTTCCCATACACCAGCGAACTCAAGGTGTTCCATGCGGATAAGTTATTTCGGGGGGATACCTGGCGTTCATGAGTCCCATAGTAGGTCTCTAGTTGGTTGCGATAGTCCCTTGACATACCAGTCTCCCCTGGAAGACACCAATCTACCAACTCCAGATGCTCCTGCATTCTCAATGGATGATGTTCTCCTTTTGGATCCGCCCGAAGGCAAGTTAAAACGGAAGGAGCAGAGGATGATCCTGATTAAGGACAACCCTTCTGGGTGTCACGCTTGCCTCCTTTACCGCAGTAATGAGTACTATCGAAGTCTTCGCTATTCTGATCCCAATTTCATAGGTGTGTCCGTATCTCAGGCAGTGAGCTTTCAGCCACTGTCTGGCCCGGTAGTGAAGCAGTCCTGGGAAATAGTCAAAGGGTTATGGTGCCTTTCCGCCGTACCCGTCGAATTTCCTTACGAATCGTCGCTATCAATGATGTGGGAAGGTGTAATCCGCCCAAGATGGAATCTATTCTGAAATAGAGGAACTGAATCACTCGGAACTGGGATCGAACCGATTCCTCTCTGTTCACTATGAATCCCAGCAATTCCCGAAACTGTAAACATAAATCTCGTTTGTAAACGTAGTCATGAATTGGATTTGCAAAAGGTAAGTCGTCTAGGTATGTGACAGCAGATACCCTTTGCTTTTCAGTGCGCAGTGACCGACTTCAGAAACTTCATGAGGCACCATGTGAACCTATAGGTAAGTGCCCTTCAAGTCCAACCTTGTAGATCCCCTAAGAGATGGATACCTTCCTTCTTGAGTTGTCGGTACGCCCCAAAACCATTGGGTTGGCATAGGTTGATGACTGGGTGATAGTCTCCTATCTTCTTCCTTACTACCAAACCGTTGCTGAGATAAATGGTTCTCCAAACAATAGTCCGTCCGCCTGAGGTCCTCGCTCTTTTGTCCCTAACTTCAATAGTTTGAAATCCATCTTTAATCGGGCTGCTTTGCGGCGTTCCCCAACTTACATATTGCCCTTTGCACCCATTCCCTCACATCGTGAGTCTTGTGTGGGGTCAGGTCCGCAAAGTATAGAATTTTTTCCCGGGCTGATCATATCCAGTATTTCATCTTAACTCATTTTGAGTCCTCCTCCTACACCTTTACATGGACCCCGGCCTGATCGGGACATACATATCACCACGAGCTCCATAGTGAGGACTATCTTGTTCGGACATAGAGGGCGTGGGCATTCCATCCTGAGCCTGTCTCGGATTTCTTTTCCCATAGGCCTCCTAAGCCAGAAGTGGGCCCGGTGCTCCGGTTAACCCCATTCTGATGACCCTGGTTGTCGGATGGTGCGTGAGTCAAAACAGGAGTGTCCAGTGTGCCAAAGAAAAAACCTTTCTTGCTAGGCGTGTCTTGTCACTTTTACCTCTTCTCCCCTCCATTCTTTCATGATCTCCAGAGAAGGGGGGGAGGATGAAGTCCTCGTCCCCTGATGATGGGTGTCCGACCTAACGTCGGTATCTCAATCTTCCATTGGTGTTGCTGCCGTTGCACCCGCTCTGTTGGATGGGTTGTTAGCCAGCATACTGGAGAGGACTTCTTCCCCCGGAGCGGTCATGGCAGCCTTAATCCTCGCCTGAAAATCGGTCGGGGATATTGAGGTAAGTCCGACATGTTGGTTCACACCCTTTCGGTCCGTGGGAGACAGGATCGTACAACAGTACACTTATTGCCACTCAGTAGGCCTCCGCGTATAACTGGGGGTCACCCAGAATTTTGATCAATCAGTATCATTTTCGCAGGATCCGGGGAGTGGTCTGAGAATGAGGACACCCTCAGTAAGACCGGGATGAGCGGTCTGCAATGTCGGGACGTAGCCCGAGTCTGGGAGACGTGAAAGCCTCAATATATATAGTCCACGGGGTTCATCCTTATATGGTCTAGAATTGTGGAGTTTTGGCAGCACTGTGAGTTCTCCTTCTCGGTTAAGGGAAGGGCGTATGGAACCCCAGTTGAAGCATAGAGGTGCCAGAATACATGCATCTAGTGCGCCCTGGTCTGTGCATACAATGACAGAGCGTACTCTGAAGGTAGAAGCCCTAGAAAGGGTGCGGGGGGTCACCCCTTTGTACCTATGCCACTAGCACTGGAGTAAGACTCGCTTGGGGTTCACCCAGCATAGGGGGGTCACCCCTGTATGATTGTCTCTTATGGCATGTTGGGACACTCTTTCGGTCTCTGGGGTACTGAACAGGTGTCAGGTACGGTAGTACACTTATTGCCACTTAGTGGGCCTCCACGTACAACTGGGGGTCACCCAGAATTGTTTCAATCAGTACCACTTAGAGATTTCCTGGGAGTGGTCTGAGGAGGGGGTCACCCTCAATAAGACCGGGATGAGCGGTCAGTAATGTCGGGACGTAGCCCGTGTATGGGGAGGTATGGTAGCCTCCAAATTATCCAAGGAGTCACCCTTATAGGATATAGTACTGTGGAGAATTGGCAGCACCATGAGCTCTCCTTCCTGGCTCTGTCGATATACATGTATTCGGTGTGACCCGGTCTGTGCATACAGTAACAGATCGTACTCCGTGGAAATGAGCCCACCCTAGGGCGTGGGGGTTCCCCCCAGTATATGTATGTCACTAGGACAGGAACCAGATTCGCTTGGGGGTCACCCAGCGTAAGGGGGGTCACCCATGTACCACAATGTCACTTTGGAGAGGTGTCTGCCACGCTTGGGGGTCACCCAGCGTAAGGGGGGTCACCCCTGTTAATCACTCCATTATGTGCCTCCACTACTGTGTCCTGGGAGGTGTATCCCTGTGGGGAAGGAGTGTATCCAATGGTTGTGAGGTCCAGTGGGAGTAGGGAGCGGAGTAAGATATCAGCTCTATTTAATTTCCCTGCCAGTAGATAGAGTAATGCATCCACTATATGCCCACAGCAGGGGACAGTCCATTCATAATCCTCCAGATGTACAATAAAACTGTTATTCAACATGTCAATTGTATAGAACAGAATAGAGCAAACTGTCAGCAGATGCACACAGCAGGGATCAGTCCTACATATTCATGCAGAGTTACATATAAAACTTTTATTTCACATGCCAATGAAATATGCCAGTATAGAGCTCAGCAGTGAACAGTCCATTCATAATCTTCCAGGAAAGGTACATATAAAACCTTTATTCCACATGCCCATGAACAGTATTGAGCTCAAAAGTACTTGTAAAACTTTTATTTCACAGGAAAAATATATGAAACAGTACAGAACTAGCCGCCAGTTCGTGGGAATCACGAACTGGCCAAACGACATGGCCGACGTGAATCTCGCGAGTGCCGCGAGATTCAAGATGGCCGCCGTTCGCGCGCAAAAGTGCCGTGCGGCCCACGATCGAGGATACGATCGCGGTCTGCCGGCATGGAAAAGAGTCCCCCCGACATCCCCAACCCCCAGAGACCTGCCCTGAAGTCCCAGCACCAATGAATAAAAAGCGTGCTCGCGGTAAAACGCCGCGATCCATGCGAGACCAGAGTAAAGCATAGGAAAGAAAAGGTGCCAGCAACAGAAAACAGGCTAATAAAGCAGAAAATACAGGGTTAATTCAGGGGAAGGGTAACAGGGGGAGAATATCACACTATACAAATCCAAATGGAAGGCAAGTGCAAAATAATGAAAAACGTTTAGGCCAAAATTGCAGGACAAGCTAATAAAGTTTAACAAAAGTGCCCATGCATATCCAGAAACAGTTTGGAGCAAAAACTGAATGTCTAGCATTAAAAATCTAACTAAAGTGACCATAGCAATATTAATAAAAACAGTTGGAGCAAACTGAAAGTCAATTAATAAAGTTTAATTAAAGTGGTATCCAGAAAAAACAGTTAGGATTAAAACTGAATGTCTAGCATAAGGTGTCTAACTACAGTGACCATAGCAATATTAATAAAAACAGTTTGGAACATACTGAAAGTTAAGCAATAAATGATTAACTAATGACAATTGCAATATTCAGTAAAACAGTTTGGAGCAAAATACTCTGACCTGTGCCTTGGCTGGTAAGCAGCAAAGAAAGAGGAAGTCATGTGTCTGTCAGGGCTTTATATATGGATGTGATGCCTGTTACTGATTGGTTTAAAGTTTATTGATTGACTTGTGCTGCTGGAGGCATAAAGTAAAGAAAGTTATGCAAAATATGAAGCCTCCTGTCATGTGATAAAATTATCATTATATATATATTTATATATAATATAATATATATATATATATATATCTATATGTAAATACGTAAAAAATAAAATTAAAAACATAAATAAATAATATATATATATATATATATATACATGTGTAATTTTGTTCTAACTGTATTTTAAAATTAATATATATATATTGATATCAAAATACACATAGAACTAAATAATATATATCTATATACATAAGTATATACGTATATATCACTATATATATACCTTTATATAAATAAAAATAATTTTAAAAAATTATATACATATATAGATATACACACATATGTATATATATATATATATATATACATATATATATATATATATATATATATATACACATGTATATATATAATAATTCTGTGTATATATTTATGTAATAATTTCACATAATTAGGTCATTTTATTAATTACAATTTGCAGGACCTGCCTGACAACCCAGGCCAAAAGTTTAGGGAATTTAATTTGCACTATATTTAACCCTGTAACTTTCCAAGACACCATAAAACCTTTCCATGGGGGGTACTGTTTTACTCGTAAGACTTCGCTGAACAGAAATATTAGTGTTTAAAAACAGTAAAATGTATTACAACGATGATATTGTCAGTGAAAGTGACATATTTTGCATTTTTTACACACAAATGGCACTTACACTGACGATATAATTGTTGTGATACATTTTACGGTTTTGAAACATTAATATTTGTGTTCAGCGAAGTCTCCTGAGTATAACGGTACCCCTCATATACAGGCATTTAACTTATGAATAATTTTAATGTGGCCCTGAAACGGAGAGAAAACATTTGAAATATTTGCACTATTGACTTTTCCATGCTTTATGTTTAGAAAAATGGGAAGATCAAATCCCTGTCTTTTTAGTTGAAAGGATAGTTTTATGTTAGTATTCAGGATTTCAGGGATCAATAATAATATGGATATGAAACGTAGCGTTACGAGAGGTAACATATCAAAAAGAAAAACGACTTGTCAGTAAGGGCGGTTTATCTGCAATTTAAACACTGTAATTTTTAATGATGACATTGTTTGATACCATGCTATACATTCATGGATTGATTTTCAAGAGATCTGTAACATAAAACCTAAACCACAGAATATTTGCCCTCATTTTATAGAAATAACATGAACATTTTGTGGAACTGTGATCCTTAGTAGAGATGAGCGAACCCGAACTGTAAAGTTCGGGTTCCTACCAAACATTACGTTTTTTGGACCCCGGACCCGAACACGGACATATCACTGTGTGTTCGGTTTGGAGTTCGGTGTTCGGCGTTTTAATGGCGCGTTTTCAAAGGCTGCAGGGCAGCCAATCAACAAGCGTTTGACTCGTGTGCCCTTAGAAGCCATCACAGCCATGCCTACTTATGGCATGGCTGTGATCGGCCAGTGCAGCATGTGAGCCAGCCTCTATATATAAGCTGGAGTAGCGTAGCTCCGCACGCACATGAGGTCTTATTAGTGTAGGGAGAGGATGCTGCCACTGATAGGGACAGCTTAGGAAAGAATTCTGCAAACTAGTACATTAGTGGGGTGCACTTCATATCTGAGAGTCAAACAGAAGCTTCAAATACCGCGGTTACATCAGGGTTTTGAAAAGTCAAAAAATGTTTGTGCTAAATAGTACATTAGTGGGATAGTACATTAGTGGGATAGTACATTAATGGGGTGCACTTCATATCTGAGAGTCAAATAGAAGCGTCAAATACTGCTGTCACATTGCAGTTTTAAAACTTAACATTTTTTGGGTGCTAAACTGCAAAATAGTCTTTTAGTGGGGTGCACTTCATATCTGAGAATCAAATAGAAGCATTTAATAGTGTGCTTGCAGCGCAGTGGTAAACATTCTTATTTTCTGGATGCTAATCTGCTAAATAGTACATTTGCGGACTGCACTTCATATCTGAGAGTCAAATAGAAGCATCTAATAGTGCGCTTACAGCGCAGTTGTAAAAATTCTAATTTTCCGGGTGCTAATCTGCTAAATAGTACATTTTGGGGCATGCTCTTCATATCTGATAGTCAAATCGAAGCGTCTAATAGTGCGCTTGCTGCGCAGTTGTAAAGATTCTAATTGTTTTGCTGCTAATCTGCTAAATAGTACATTTGCGGCCTGCGGTGCACTTTATATTTGAGAGTCAAATAGAAGTGTCAAATAGTGCGCTTATTGCGCAGTTGTAAACATTCTAATTGTTTTGCTGCTAATCTAATGCTTACATTGGAGTTTTAAAAAGTCACAATTTTTTGGGGTGCTAAATAGTATATTTGGGGTGTGCACTTCATATCTGAGAGTCAAATAGAAGCATCTAATAGTGTGCTTACAGCGCAGTGGTAAATATTCTTATTTTCTGGGTGCTAATCTGCTAAATAGTACATTTTGGGGCCTGCTCTTCATATCTACAAGTCATGCTACATCAAAATTAAACAAGTTTTAAAATATGTATGGGCCCACGAGTGGCTGTAAAAACAAAGTTTTTCTGGTTACATTCATGACTACACACTCTAGGACCTTCATGTAGTGTGTTCTTTTTTTTTTTTTAAATCATACAGCATCCTTTCATGTGCTTTTCAGATGTCATATTGTGAATTACCAATTTTTGTGTAGCCTGATTTTTATTTATTTTTTAAGTGAAAAATAAGTGTTATTGTGATCGCTTCATATACAGAAGCATTAATATACATTAATATACATTTCTATATTGTGTAAAGACACAACTACAAAGTTAAAAACCAAACACCAAAACAACATGCCAGACAATCTACCTGTGCATGGCTAGTGTGATACAATAATTCTACATCTTAAAAATGCAATAACCCACAGAAGATGGACGAGAATTTTTTTTGCAAATGGAACTTTGGAATTTACTACTTCGGTCACTTGTAATATTGTTTCACACCTACAACACTTGTTACACAGATCTAAGTGATAGAAAACATATTGATATGTTCTACACTAGAAACTACCAGATAACAAGTTGCTATATTTAAACCAGTTATCAATAGCTGAAAGGTACTTAAACAATATTGTAATTCTTGGGCAATACCCTCACAAGTCAAACTGAAAGGTCAGTTTATAGGTAAAACTGTTGCCTGGATACAATTCTAAAAAATTTCCATTTATCCTTTGCAGACTTTACATGCTGGAAAAACACAGGTGCCAACTGCTGTGGCAAGGAGGGCAAGGTTGAGGAGTGGGTGGAAGATGATGTGGAGGATGATGAGGTCCTAGACCCCACATGGAATCAAGGTCATGCGAGTGACATGTGCAGTTTGGAGGAAGAGGAAGAGGCGCTGGTTGCACAGAGGCACCAGCACAGCATAGAGGGAGCAGGATGCAAAAGCCCCTAGCGCTCGTCGGCATGTATTAGCTCGAAAATTACCAGTTATCCAAGTAATACATGTAGTGATCAAAGGATCCATAATAGAGTTGAGGGAACCCGAATTGCAAAGTCCGGTTCGTACCAGATTTAACAATCCATTCGTAGTTTCACAGTCAGGTGGGCAGTCCAGTGACAAGGACCCAGACACTGTCTGGGCGGCGGTCGGACGACCGGGACCCAGTATGCTTGATGTTGAAGTTAGAAGTCACAGTGTGGAATGGATTAGCAGGGTCTGATGCAGGGTAACCGCACGCCCCCTAGTGTTGAGCACCAGCATTTGTACGGCCACATACCAGGACCCAGCTTCAATAAAAAGAGTACTGGATACCAGAAGCCATCACCAGACTGATTTGCAACTTGGAACAGGATGTGACATTCACTGCAGCGGCAGTGCGCACTTTTGGCTTTGTCACCCTGCAGCTGCTCGCCTGTCTGCGCTACAGCATAACTTTGGCCTTTGCGCTCACCGCCTCATGAGACTGTGCGAGCAGCAGCAGGCGATAGTGGAGTTTCAGCTGCAGCACGCACGGGTCAGTGACTCTGCACCAAACTTCTCTCCAATTGATCAGGATTAAAGGATTTTAAGTGGACTCATTACAATTACAGGGCCTCTAAAGAGTCCTGTATTGTTATTTGTTGTCACTAACTTCCCGTGTCAGGAGTGGGTCATTTGCGCGCCTGCTGCCTTCCTTGCATGTGGTAGCCATTTCTCAGGGTCCCTGTACGGAATGGAACCCTGATTCCCCGTTACCCGTGGTCACCATGGTAGGCGCAGAAACTGGCATTGAAAATTGATATGGATGACATCCAAATGCAAAGTCACCGTCACAGGGATGTGCGATTGGCCCGAAGTTCTCTAGAGTCAACAAAGTGCCCGCGCAACTATAATGTCAACAGCTACTCTGCAGAACAGTGTTGTCTTTTTTAAATGTCCCAATATTTTGGGGGCTACACCAATTAAATATATATATATATATATATATATATATATGTAAATATATATATATATATATATATAAAAAAAACTGTGTTGGCTACCTCCTCCTCCACCGCCGCTTCCACCTACACCGCCACGGTCACCATCTCCTCAACCTATGGGTCACTTAGTATAAATTATGTACACATTAGCAGAGGCTTGTGAAGGCTTTTTGTCCATGCATCAGAAGTTGAGCATTTCTCCATGCATCAGGACTGCAAGAAACGCACTGCAGGACGCAAATGTTTCTTTTTTTTGTATGTCCCAATATTTTGTGGGCTACCACAATTAAAAAAAACAAAAAACATAAAAAACAGTGTTGGCTACCTCATCCTCCTCCTCCACCGCTGCTTCCACCAACACCCCCACGGTCACCACCTCCTCAACCTATGGGTCACTTAGTATAAACTTTGTACACAATAGCAGAGGCTTGTGAAGGCCTTTTCTCCATGCATCAGGAGTTGAGCATTTCTCCATGCATCAGAATTGCAAGAAATGCACCGCAGGCCGCAAATGTTTCTTTTTTTGTATGTCCCAATATTTTGTGGGCTACCAAAATTAAAAAAACAAACAAAAATAAAAAACAGTGTCGGCTACCTCATCCTCCTCCTCCACCGCCGCTTCCACCTACACTGCCATGGTCACCGCCTCCTCAACCTATGGGTCACTTAGTATAAACTATGTACACAATAGCAGAGGCTTGTGAAGGCCTTTTCTCCATGCATCAGGAGTTGAGCTCAGTTTGAACAATGAAAGAGAATACCCTGCACTCCAAACCTCTCTCAAATGGATAATTCTGGTGATCCTCCTGACAGCCATGCTTTAGACTTTGATTTATGTTCTTCCAAAGCTAAAATCAAACATTCCATCCAGTGCTATTTTATGGCTCAGCAGTATTTTTTATTTTTAGGTTTTTTTATGTTATTTCAAGTGATTTCCCTATCCACATTTGTTTGCAGGGCACTTGTCCTACTCTTACCCCATTTTACTTCCTTTTGCATCTCTCTAGCCCTTTCCAGGACTTTTTTAGAGGCATTTTTGTGCCCAAAAGTTCGGGTCCCGATTGACTTCAATGGGGTTTGGGGTCAAATTCGGGGTCAAGTTCGAGCCCGAACCTGGACTTTTTTTCAAAGTACGGCCGAACCCGCCGGACCCAAACATAAAGGTGTCCGCTCAACTCTAATCCTTAACACTTGGAAATGATCCCGTGCTCTTGGGGAAGAGGTTCTAGTTTTTACCATGTTGTAGAGCAGGGGTAGGCAACCTTCGGCACCCCAGATGTTGTGGACTACATCCCTGATAATGTCTTACACCCATAATGCTGGCACAACATCAAGGGAAATGTAGTCCAAAACATCTGGAGTGCCAAAGGTTGCCTATGCCTGTTCTAGAGAATAATATTTTAAGAACATTATTATATACTAGTGGTCTCAGCTCCATGAAATCGATTTTTCCTCTATCTGCATGCCTATTTCACAATCCTTGACCTATTTCAGATACATAGTTACATAGTTACATAGCTGAAAAGAGACTTGCATCCATCAAGTTCAGCCTTCCTCACATATGTTTTTGCTGTTAATCCAAAAGAAGGCAAAAAACCCAGTCTGAAGCACTTCCAATTTTGCAACAATCAAGGAAAGAAATTCCTTCTTGACCCCAAAATAGCAGTCAAATGTGTCCTTGGATCAAGTAGCTATTACCCCACTAATTAGAAATTATATCCCTGTATGTTATGTTTTTGCAAGTATTTATCCTATTGCAGTTTAAACATCTGTATGGACTCTGATAAAACCACCTCTTCAGGCAGAGAATTCCATATACTTATTGCTCTTACTGTAAAAAAACCTTTTCTTTGCCTTAGATGACCTCTCCTTACTTCCAGCTTAAATGCGTGACCTCATGTCCCATGTACAGCCCTGTTTATGAATAGATTTTCACATAATGGTTTATACTGGCCCCGAATATACTTATATAAAGATACCTTTCCAATACATGGCTCCTTGGCTACACAAGCTGTCTACAAAATCTTTGTCAGTTCCACCTGCTTTTTTTACACAATTCATCGATTTATATTTTTCTGCTCACTTCTGCAAACTTCTCTTGGCCACTTCAGATCCCTCTGCCTAATGCAGACCCTGCTGCCCTGTTCAGATTCCTCTGCTCTACGGTGTCATATCCAGATTTTTTTTATATTCT